ATTTTGCTATATTTTGTGGATTCTTAAATATTGCAAGTAGATTTTGGAACAGTTTTATAGATTTATTCTCTAGAATTCTCGGTGTGATCATTCAAGAGGAATTAAACTTGTCTAAGGAAGCATTGATGTATTTTCTCCATTATTGGTGATCTCAAGTTGAGAATATCTTGTACTTGGTTCTTTGATAATGGATTTGACTTTGAATTGGCCCTTGGTCTCTCCCTCTACATTGGAAGGTTTTCCACATAAATTTTGTGTCTTGTTACTTTCGTTATTGGTTTTTTGTTTACATTGATTTTGATTTACATTATTGATTGAATTGGAATTGTGAATTGGATCCAATGAATTAATTTTGTGACTACTTTAGTTTGCATAGAAGTTAGAATATTTTGGTAGACCCAACAGAAGAAACGCTTGGATTATCACGAGACCTTTTCACTAGTAACCAAGATAACTACTGTAACACCCCGTCATCACTGTGCTAATATGATTTGAAAATCTTATTTATTTGAGCATTCGGCCGCCTTAAATTTTAATTAATTTACGCTATCCATGATTTTAATTTATTTTTTATTTAATTTTTATTAATTTTATTATTATTTTATATTAAATGAAAAATTTAGAAAAAAATATTTGGAAGACGGCGAAAAAGGAGAAAACCGGCTCGTTAGGAAAAAAATCCCGCAGGGAAAACAGGTTTACTCACACGGGTATTAGGCACTGTGTGCGCACACAGGCACGCACAGTGGCTGCGGGGGCGTGCACACAATGCGCACGACCCATCCACGTGCACGGCCCAGGGTCAGAACTTGCGTGCACGTCCTGTCATGTGCAGGCAGGTCATCCACGCGTCACTTCGCAAACTAACTGGCGCCGCACACTGTCCGCGCAGCACGCCCACGCGAACAAGCCTTGTGCACCTTGGGCCTGTGCGCCTACAGGCTAGCCTGTAGCACGCCAGTATTGCCCTGCCACCTCGGGGAAAGCTCCACTGCTGTCTTGGGTGGTGCGCCGACACCGCCACCGGTGAAGGAATATTTTCTCTCTCGTTTTTCGTACTAAAAATCTTTTTTCTCCTCTCTCTTCACTGGATTTCATCACTTAGTGCGAATCCAGCGATTTTGAAATTTTATAAATTGCCCTCTCCCTTCCCTTCCTCTCCACACTTCTATTTCTTCCATTTTTCAAAGGTTTAGAGAGAGAAAGAGAAAGAGAAAGAGAGAGAGATAGTAAATTAATGAAAGAAGAAGAGAAAGAAAAGTAAAATTGTGAAGAAAAAAATATCGAGGTCTCGGCAAGGAATCTAGTATTACTTTCGACGTTTTAAGAAATATTTTTAGATAAGTAAATTTAATATGATAGTTGTTTTGTCGATTTTTCGTGTCTCTATATTCAAATGGGTCGAATTATTTTGATTTACAAGCATTTTGTGTGATTTACTAACACTTGATGAATTTGCATGTAATGAATAAAATATGTAATCACTAAAATGAAAAATATAAAGAAAAAGATAAAAGTAGAATGAAGCCTATATGGTCCGAAGTGTATTTGTATTGACATGAATTTTGCATCAAGTGTTTCGTTATACTTTTTGTCTCTGAGGGGTATCTGTTCCCCTTACCATTCAGGGTATCTGTTTTCCCATCCCATATCTGGTCTGTAAAAACGTAAAAGGACCGCTTTCAGTGGATGATGGTGTGCCCTCTGACGAGAGCGGTATCGCACTATCTGTAGGGATCACCCATGGTTAAGTAATGTCATGACTATAGACTATCTGATAGGACCACTATAGTTGGTACGATCGTGGTCATAGATCGTACCATGATTTGGCTAGTTAGAAGTGGGCCTGAGCAGATTTTCGTATCTATATCTGATCTGGTCATTCCACTTAAGTAGCTGAAAATCTGTATCTGTATATGCACTCAGAGATGAAAGTTTGTAACGACTTTGTGAAGTATGACATGAAAAATCT